CACTACTCTAATAACAAAGTCATAGACACTACAAGAAAAGAAAACTACAGACCAAAATCTTTTATTGACATTGATTAAAAAAAAAAAAAAACTCCTCAGCAAAATACTAGCAAACTGAATTATTTCACTAGCACATTAGAAAGATTACACACCATGGCCAAGCGGCACTTATTCCTAGAATGCAAGGAGAGTTCAACTTAAAAATTGATCATTTATAACACACCATACTAACAGAATGAAGGAAAAACTCAGTGGTCATCTCAACTGATGCAGAAAAATCATTTGATAAAACTCAGCATACTTTCCAGATTAAAAAAACAGCATTCTACAAAATAAGAATAGGAGTAAACTACCTCAAGATAACAAAACATAATAAAGGTCACATATGAGAAACCCATAGCAAACATCATACTAAATGATAAAAGACTGAAAGCTTTTCCTCTAAGATCAGAGACAAAGCAAGAATGCCCACTTTTACCACTTCTAGCCACAGGAATTAGGCAAGAAAGAAATAAAAGGCATCCAGATTGGAAATTAAGAAGTAAAATTATCTTTGTTTACAGATGATATGATCTTATATATAGAAAACCCTAAAAATTCCACACACCAAAAAACTGCTAGAATAATCAAATTCAGGAAAGTAGCAGGATACAAAGTCAAATCAAAAACTTACATGCATTTCTATACAATAAACAATGAACAAAATGGAAAAGAAATTAAGAAAGCAATCTAAGGGCACGTGGGTGACTTAGTCAGTTAAGGATCCAACTTCAGCTCAGGTCATAATCTCACAGTTAGTGTGTTGAGCCCCGCGTCAGGCTCTGTGTTGACAGTTCAGAGCCTGGAACCTGCTTCATATTCTGTGTCTTCCTCTCTCTCTGGCCCTCTGCTGCTTGCGCTTTCTCTCTTTCTCACTCTCTCTGTCTTTCTCAAAAATAAAGAAACATTAAAAACTTTTTTTCAAAGAAAGCAATCTATTTACAACAGCATCAAAAAGAAAAACCCTCAAACTTCAGCTCCTGGCTGGCTCAGGTAGTAGAGCATACAACTCTTGATGTCAGGATCATAGTTTGAGCCCCACATTGGGCATAGAAATCACTTAAAAAACAAACAAATAAATAAATTGGAAGTTTGCCCTTTTTTGGGTGTGTCTGGCTGACTCAGTCAGTAGAGCATGCTACTTTTAATCTCAGAGTTGTGAGTTCTGGCCTCACTTTGGGTGTAGAGATTATGTTATGTCTATTTCATCATAATTTCAACAACTGAAGAAAACAAACTCCAGTAGGAGTGTCTCCAAAAGATGAAAAAGATATATTACCTGAATTTTTTTGATAAATTAAGAAGAGATTTAAACTTCTGAGGGGTAAATTAAGGATAAGACCTAACTACAGAAAAAATAAAACAAATGCAAAGCAAGACAATTAATTCCAAGCAGAAGAAACTTTAAAATCTATGCAAGTAAAGAAAATAATCAGAGTATACCACACGGCTATATTATGCCCACCTCTAACATTTGGGGAGGGGGCAGGAGAAGAAAAATGAAGGCCCATGTATCATATGACTACACATTTTTTAAATGTAAATCAAACTAAAAAAAGTTTTAAATAAAAATACTTCTTATCCTCCTACCTTAAGTAAATGACCTAGAAAGCCAGGATTAAATTTAAAATCCACATACTTTTCAGAGCTCCATACCAGAACTTAACAGTGGATGGAGAGCTACCTACTGGCCTCAGACCAAGATGTTATCCCCTTCTATTCCAGCCTCAAGTTCCAGCCCACACACTGAGGAAATTTGTGGGCATGTGTAGATACCAACTCATGTATCCAAGCTCTGATCATACCCTCACAAACACTTTCCCCTTAGATATGTACACAGATCCACCTTCAGCAGGACACATGATGATGGGACCTGCATGGGTTGTAGAAGCAGCCTCAGGATTGTTTGAGCAAGTAATTCTGGGACCGAGAGTGAGATCTGAAAATGAAGCTTCCTTTGCTCTGAATTCCTCCCTCAGGGAGAAGGGCCAGAGCAAAAACTTCTAAAGTCTGGCTTGCAAGACACAGGCTCCTATGCAAATGTCTAGGAATAGTACTGGACTCCTCTGAAAATAGCATATATATAATCATGCAACATAAATATTAATATAAAAATCTTACCTGTGAAATTTTCAGGAGGATGAGGGGGATGGGAAACATGCAGTACAGTGCTTGGTAACAAGTGGGAAATGATTAAAGAAAGATAAAGCCTAATCTTTTATGGTAGAAAGTCAATAAATGATGCCTAAGAGCAAAAAACTTAAAAGCTGCCATAAAATTATGTTATTTTGAGATACAAAGGAAAATGAAACAAAGAAATCGCTAAAAAGCACTGAGGTCTAGGAAACAGAAAATGAAGGAGAACAGAGTTGTAGGGAGTATTATTCTTCATTAAAATCATAGTGGAGCTCTGTGACAACTATGCACATATTAACTTTGATACTGAAAAAAAATATATAGTGCAAAGAGAAATTTTTCAAATGTATTTTTCAACTTAACATGAGCTCTGCAAAGCTCTTCATTAACCTGGTCCTTTCAGAATAACAATGTAAGAAGCAGAGGATTAGGGGAGATTATTAACATTTAACATGTAAAATGAACACTGGTGATAGGAAAGCCTCAGATTAACTAACATTCTTTTAGGTTTCTGAGGGCACTACATATTTAAATTAATTCATTCAATAGGTATTTATTGAACATCTACATGACAAGCATTGTGTTAGAAGCTGGGGATACAGAAGTAAAACAAAATTTTTGTTAATTTTTCTTTTGAGTGAAAGGGCTCTTCATTATTTTAATGTGGTGGTGTCTACATAGCTGTGTGTGTGTTTTAATTTTATTTAAAATCAAGTTAGTTAACATAAAGTGTAGAACAGTTTTAGCAGTAGAATTTAGTGATTCATCACTTACATATAACAACCAGTGTTCATCCCAACAAGTGTCCTCCTTAATGTCCTTCATCCATTTAGCCCATCCCCTCACCCAACATCTCTCCAGCAACCCTCACTTTGTCCTCTGTATTTATGAGTCTTTTATGGTTTGCCTTCCTCCCTGTTTTTATCTAATTTGTGCTTCCATTCCCCATGTTCATCTGTTTTGTTTCTTAAATTCCACATCCTTCCTCCCTGTTTTTATCTAATTTGTGCTTCCCTTCCCCATGTTCATCTGTTTTGTTTCTTAAATTCCACATATGAGTGAAATCATGTATTTGTCTTTCCTGACTTATTTCACTTAGTATAATACATTCTAGTTCTATCCACGTTGTTGCAAATTTCATTCTTTTTCACTGCCAAGTAATATTCGTCTCTCTCTCTGTGTGTGTGTGTGTGTGTGTGTGTGTGTGTGTGTGTGACATCTTCTTTATCTATTCATTTGGACTCTTTCCATAATTTGGTTACTGTTGATAGTGCTGCTATAAACATTGGGATGTTAAAAATAAACATTTTTAGAAGATATGTTTTTGCCCTTACAAACAGCTTAATGTCCAGTCCAGGTGACACCGTGGAAGCAAATATTCATTCAATGAATATAAAATATAAACTGTGATACCTTCTATGAACTAAAGTTCTTGGTGCTAGGAATGTGTAGAGCAGGTAAACCTGATTCAGTGAAAAGAATGGTTAAGTTTCCCCTAGAAATAACATATGAGCAAAGATCTCAAGAATGAGTGGATGTTAAATGACCCTTCAGAGGAGTCACATATCCTCTGGGGAAGTGCCTGCCTTAGTATCATCCTACAGCTCTCAGTTGTCAGCAGGGAGCAGCTCTGAACAAAGGCCTTAGTGAAAAAGCAGTAATAGATTAGTAATAGAGTTCAAACTTAGCAGGTGAGGCCCTCGGTCAATTACAAGCCCTGTAGATGGAAATGTGTGAGATGTATTAGTATAGGTGCCATAGTCTTGGAGGAGGTATGGGGACAGAGAAGGGGACAAAGCAAATCTTCATTTTGTAATGACCACCAGGCTACAATATGGAAAATGAATTGATGGGGGACAACAATAGATGCAAGGACACCATGTGGTAGGTCAGTCAAAGATAAAAATAGATTGAGTGTATGCCAAGAAATGAGTACTTTAAATAAGTAATTAATATCCTTCAGGGATTAATAACCCTTTCAGTCAGGATTTTCAAGTTACCTGAAAATATAATATCTTTGAAAGGCATTTAACTCATAAACCTATTAAGAGATTCTCTTGTTATATTTATATTAATATTTATTATCCAGTGGGTGTTAAACCATATGTGTTCAATCATCAGACATGAGTAATAACAATTAATGATCAAAAGAAACATCTAAGCTGACCTGACTGAGGCCAGACTGACATGTAGTCTATTCCGTCTTCTCTTTTCTTATATTAGGAGTTGTGTGCTGCTTTTGCTTGTTTGTTTCTGTTTCTGGCTCAAAGAAGAACTTTTTGGTAAATTTCTTAGAGATGTATGATGCCACATGATTGAGATACTTCGATGGTATGTTAATTTTGTTCCTTAACTGTGATACATCATAAGAACCACTATATTATGTTTGTAACAAAAACCAGCAGGATGATGTATCTTTTTTGTTTCTTTTCCAAGAATCAATTAGTTTATGGGAAAAGAGAGGGTAATTCACCATTTTTGCACTTTTTTTGACAGCTGTTAAAAACAGTTTTCAATATCCTGCCCTGTGAATTTTCCTGCAATGTCATATTTCCATTTAACTTCAGTTGCAAAGTAAAAAAACAGATGTGATTTATAGAGCTATCTGCTCTACTCTGAAGCACGCTAAGTGTCCAAAGTATTCTGAATTCTTTTTTAAAGAGAAATGAATAAAACACACAATAGATTCACATTTATGACAAAAATGCTATTCTTCTCACTAAATTTTCCATTACTTCCTCTCTATTGTTTTAATCTACAAATTAACTTCATCCTTCTCACACCAGATTCAGTTTCAAACTTAGGCTCTGCAATTATACTTCTACTAAGACTCTGATAGTCTATCAATGTATGTTCCACTTACTTTCATTATCATCCCTAAAATATCCATTTACTCTTCTTTCCCTGGAGGTCAGTTATGATGCTAGGATCTTTTATTCTCTCAGTATCTCAGTAAGAAGACTCCCTATTCCTTCCTAATTAACATGTTGCCTTTTGTCCTATGCCTCACCTATCCAATGTTTCAAAAAAGTACTCTACCTCAATGTATGCATGAAAATATCAGAACTTATCATTTCGACTGGCCTTCACTTTTATTCCAATATTACCTTTCAGTAATAGGAAATAAACATTGGAAAATAAATTATTTCTCATAACTGAACAGCAGATCTGCTATATGTTCTCACAGGCAAAGAAAAAAAATTTATAAAGCATAGAACCATTTGCAAGTTGCTAAAACCAGAGCATTCATTCTTTTAAGGAAAATCATACGGTTAGTAAAAATGTTGTTCATCTCTGCTACAAAGTCATTTAATATATTTGGTACCTTAGTTTCCAAATTATGTTCCAAAAACTAAAATAATTCTCAGTATCTGTTTAACATGCCATGAAATGACCTGGTGATTTTCTCTCTACTATAGTGTTGACCAGCATAGACAATCTCAGTGGAATAAACTATAAGAAATTTTCAAAATTTCAAAACTATCTGCCCGAATAAGCACTTATATTTGGGGCTATGCATAATGTAGGCATTTAACCAGTTACTCTCCTTTTTTACTATGTAGCCCTCTCCTTCTCAAAACCTTCTCGTGACTAATAATTTTTTTGTTGTGTCTATGTATTCTTTGCACATTTACTACATCAGAACAGTAAAAAAGCACTGAACAGTTCTTTGGCTTTGTTGCCATTGGTTTTTCCCCCTTAACTCAGATACAAGCTTCCTGAAGGCCTAGTACTTGCCTTTAAGTTCTTTTCTAACATTCCAGTTATTGACCAAGAAGAGATCTCCTGCACAAGATACACTTGCCTTCATTATAGAATTACTCAGCCACTACTGGTTCTTCTCTGGAAGCTCTGCACCTGTGAATAAGTTAAGCACTCTGCCTGTCAGCTGCAAGTGGGAAAAAAAATCTCAAATTGGCTTAAACAAAAATGTACTTACTATTCATTTAAATAAAAAGTCCAGACCAAGCAGGAACTTCAGGTGTGGCTTCATTTGGGACTCAAATGATATCACCAATTTTCTTTGCTTCCTCTGAGTTGACTCCATTCTCAGGCTCCCTGCAGTGGTTCCTGCAACTTCAGGTTCCCACGCTCATCACATGCATGCCACAACCAGAGGCAGAGTTCAATAAAAGTGCAAACAAAGTTTGGATTGAGTCTTCTTGGTTGAAATTGGCAAGATTGGTTGTTCTAACTGGCTTGGCTTGGGTAAGAACTACAGCTATTGTGCCCAAGAGTAGAGCCAGATCTGACCCAATGTTTCTGGGCCAAGAGGAAGGCAGAGTGGCCTCCCAGTAAAACTATAGTGGCAGGGAGGAACATGGACAAGAAGGGACAAAACCAATTCCTAGCCACTTGTAGTACTGCATCCACTTTTGACTTCTGGGTAATTTGTTATTATTTTTGCTAGTGGTGAGTTTTGGCCCCATTGATCCTCTATGGGATCCGTATTAGGCTGCCAAGATGTTCCTTAGTGGCAAGTACTTTCTAAAAAAAAATTATTTTTTGTTCTTCCAGAAACAATCTCCAATTTGTATAACATAAAAATGACAGATATATTAATAGTATATCTAAACGTCTACTGTTCTTTAGTGTGCTCTTCTCAAGTTTTTGATATAACAAAATCATGAGTTTTTTTCATTATTTGTTTTTTGACATTATAAATAACCATAGATAAATGACTTCTATTAATGTATAAGGTCTAGGAGGATTTTTTTTGGAATTCGTTGTCTCCAATTCTTAATCGGAGTTCTAAAAGAGTTCCTAGAGCTAACAGTTCTCAACTCATGATTTTAGTTATTTTGAACCTTTTAAACATGGCACTAAAAGCTCCTCTGGCAAGGGGGTAATGTGTAAAAAGTTCGTTGTTAGCTCTCAAGAGGTCCATTCCTTTTAGCACTTTCAAGCCAGGTAATTGTGTTCTCCAGTGTCACTGCCTTTTTCTCTTTTATAAACACTTGAGAAACACATCAAATGTTATTCTATCATTTCCTCTTCCTCTTGCTTCCCTTTAAATATTTTGGTAGAAGACAATTTTCCAGAAATATATTTGGATTCATTCATCCATTAGAACTGTATCTTCATATACTATGGAATATTTTGGTTTTTTTTAATGTTTTATTTATTTCTGAGAGAGAGAGAGAGAGAGAGGCAGCATGAGCAGGGGAGGGTAGAGAGAGAGGGAGACACAGAATCAGAAGCAGGCTCCAGGCTCTGAGCTAGTTGTCAACACAGAGCCTGATGCGGGGCTCGAACCCACGAACCATGTGATCATCACCTGAGCTGAAGTTGGACGCTTAGCCAACTGAGCCACCCAGGCGCCCCTGGAATACTTTGAAACAACACCAAGGGGGTTTTTTAGTTTTCAGTCTCTTGTCAATTTCTTCCCATCCTTACTCCTTTTCATAAAGTTGACTTTTTTTCTTATTCAAACTTCTATTGGATTTTTACTTGTCTTCTCCTCTTCCCCTTAAGGCACATAAGTAGCTACATAAAGATGCCCTCTACAAACAACTCTTCCAAGACCAAGATACTGATTAAACGTAAAACTACCATTTTAAAATTATTTTTGTTTTTTATGCACACACCAAAAATGCAAACTGAAAGGTATAGAGACATAAAACAAAATATTCTTAAGCTTATTAATATTCCATATTTATATATACAAACAGAGTAAGTCCCAAAATAGTAATTTAAAGCACTGGATATTTTCGTCTATTGATTTTAATTAAGTTTACTTTAGGTTGTCTAGATCTCAAGTAAGAGAGAAAAGAGAAATAGATGAAAATATCACAAGCAAGCTTTTTATCCCAGCTCTTGGGGGAAAAAAACTAATAAGCCACCTCCACAGTGAATTTCTAGTGAATCATTAACCAGGGATTTGTTGCCTTGGTTACTGAGCCAGGTAGAGATTCCAGTAAAAAAGCAATGTGACCTATGAGCTCAGGAAACTGAAGAAATGAAATTTCTGCATGATGATATTTGCAGTTTCTATAGAAAGAAATGAAAACAGTAAAAACATATGTGAAAATAGAATACCTTGATTGCTGACCCAATGTTAAGATTTTACACACACACACATATATACACACATACTTAATAACAACAATAGTGTGTGTTTGCTTACAAAATTTTACAAAATATAGACCATTTCCAATATGAGATATCTCTCCTGGAAAACAAAGCACTTTGCTTTTCAGTGGTGACTAGACATTCCATCAGTAGAGAATATATTGGTAATAATAGATTTGTAAGACAAGCATTCGGAAAGCAGACTGACTGAGCATATTTTACAGGCAAAATACCTCTTTGTATGGTTTTTTACATTATATTGTATCAAAATAAGAATCACGTAAATATTGATACCAAACCTAGAACTGAAGGCAAAACCAAAAGGCAAAATTTAAAGGCACAACTTCAAGCATCGCTATTATCTTAGGATGGAACTAGATTTATTGCTCACACTGAAGATGTCAGTGGTACACTAACCAACATTCAGTCATGACAGAGACTACATTATCTATGATGGTTCATTTTGTTCTGTTTCTCTGGAAAACCCTGACTAATACACTATCCAAGCCCTACTTCCCACTCTTTCATCCCAATTCTTCAAGCAAGTCCAGTTTACACTATAACCAGCCCAATTATAGAGTAAAAGACAGATAATTTTGCAGCTGTCCCATGGATGAGAAAGAGGCATCTCACAAGAAACAATAAACCTTAAATTCTGCCAATAGTTAGTGATAATCAGGCAGCATGATGGCATAGCCAATAGGACAGATTTTTTTTTTAATTTTTTAAATGATTTTATTTATTTCTGAAAGAGTGTGAACAGGGGAGGGTCAAAGAGAGAGGGAGACACAGAATCCAAAACAGGCTCCAGGCTCTGAGCTAGCTGTCAACTCAGAGCCCAACAGTGGGGCTTGAACCCACGAACCGTGAGATCATGACCTGAGCTGAAGTCGGACGCTTCACCGACTGAGCCATCCAGGAGCCCCTAGGACAGAGTTTTTTAAGTCAGTTGGCCTGGGTTTATATTCTATTTCTACCACTCACTGACTGGGTTGTTATGAAAGTAAAAGTGCCCAAACTCTGGTTACTCAGCTATGCAATAGGAATACTCACACTTACTCCAAAAGACTGATTGCTATCAAAATTTAGTAAATAATATATACAAAGCTTCTCTAGCTCAATAAAAATGGGTATCTTTCTTCCTTCCTGTTCCTCACATGGAAAACTTCCATTTATCATTTTAAAAAATCAGATTTCCTGAAGTGCTTAAACTTGAGATTCTAAAATTTAGAACATTTTCCATATATATCCTTTAAGAGCTATTTTTTAAAGTGCACTATTACTCTTGGCTCTCTTGGTCTGGAACCTTCCTTCAATACACATAAACAAATTCTCTGACACAAAGCTGGAAATGAAAGTTAAAAGGGTAAATTTAATGTTCAGATTGTGGTGTAAATTCCTAAAGCATGCTTTAGGAATTGTTTAGTTCATGCCCAAACTTGAAAGCAGTCACATAAGGCTCACACCTAGTCTCACAGCCCCAAATATGCAGCATTCATGATCAACATATATTCTTAATCATAAATTACCCTGAGTTTACAATCTTCCCACCATTTTCCAATCTGTAATTGCAAAATTTCCTTCACCATAATTAATCCAATTTGAGAAACTAACTTACTTTGTTTGAATTTAGTGCTGGACTAAGTCAAAAAAGATGAATGTTTGGCATCTGTGGTTTATTGCAAATTCTACAGAAGTTACTGGGATTTGCTTTATTCCCAATCTGGCTTTATTTGGGCTTCTCTTTTTATGAACGTATTGGGCTTTCTGCCTTTATTTCCTGTCAAAGCTCTTAGATGCTTATTACTTGATATTTATTTATCCTTTACCTTTCAGAGACAGCCAAATCCTAAGATGTTTAAACATATTACACAGATTTTGAATTTATTAAGGTTCATTTTTAATAAGAATTTTCTTACTGGTGGCAATAACCAAATAGAAAAAATATCATTGGGGCTTTAAATTATATGCTTAGTAAAACTTTCTTTTCCTTAATTTATCTATTATTCAAATAGCACATTATATTTCATATTCAAGAGATGATTTTTAAATATTAGCCAATAAGATTAAAGACTTAATTAATAATAATATTTGAATATATGCATTTTATAAGGAACATTTTTATTCTATAATTCCCTATATTTTCACGTATAGGTCTGTTATATGAACATGGAACTCTGGCCTATTTTGTCAGGTCCTGAGGTAGATGTAACAAACAAGATGACATGGTTACCACTTTCAAGGGTAACATGTAAACAAACATGTAAACAAGTCATTATTATATTATGTTAGCCAAAGTTCCCTGAAAAAAAGAGCTTGAGACAGAAGGAAACTCTTAAGATTCATCTAGGGTATACAATCCACAGAGAGCAAAAACAGAAAACTATAAGATGGAAATTGGGGAGCAATGCAAAGTGATATATTACTGGGCTGGCAACTGCTTCACAATAAACCCTAAAAAGACACAGCTGGTCACTGATAGTGACTTTGCTCAGCTACTCAAGTGTTTGCATAGAGACACTCTGCTTAGAGAAAGAAATTCATGGGAAGTAAAAAAAGAACACAATAAAAGATAACACTAGGGCCTGATAGTTTTCAAAATGGTCCACATTGTCTAATTGAAGCTTAAGCCTATCAAATGTGTTGACTATCTTTCTCTAACAAGAAATCTCATCTCCCCTGGGGGCAATGGGCTATGGTTCAGAAGAGGAACGAATGAACCCAACCCATTAACTGCTACACTCTAACATGTCAGAAATTAGTTAGAGTCAGTTTCCATGGCAGAAATCAACAGTTGGCCTGTTTCACCTTCTATGACAGGTGGCGCTCTCTTTACTGTGTTTTGCCCTTATGCCCTTATGACTTTGTATACTTTCTCAGATAAATTCCTCAAGAAGATAAGTAAAGTCAAATATAGGGGTGATATGTAGTCTAAGATTTTTGTTTTTATGGAGTCATGATTTAATATAAACTATAGCTTTTAGAATTCAGCCTCCATATAAACTGTTGATGAGAATTGAATTTATAAATCCATTTAGTCAATTATTTTCTCATTCTACAAGCATTAAACTATAAGTAGATAAGCAAAAAAATTTAGATATTGATATCAATTTTTTGGGAATACAAATTATTTCATTCTGAACACTCATCTATTCTTTTCCATGAAAATAGAGGTCTTAGATTTCTAAAATCTTTTTTGTTTCTTTCCAGCAATTCAATACCATACTTATTAGCCATCTATATGCTTTGTACTGCTGTAGACACTATAAGTGGTTCCCAATAATTAACTTTTCCCTTTATAGAGCTCACTGTTTGGTTAAGGAGAAAATCTAGAATCAAAATCTCAAGTACAGAAGTTACTATGGAGATTTGTTAAGGCCAATATATACACCTAAAACAGTTAATAAGTATAACAGAATGTACAACATAGAAAACAGCCAATGGCTAAAATAGTTTAAGAAAACAGAAATAAATATGTTTGAGAACTCGAAGAAAAGTCATAGAGGAGGTAGTAAATAAACTATAAACTGAAGAATACCCAGACCTTAAATATATAAAACAGAAAGACAAAGAACAGTCCACTTACTGGGAAATAGCATGAGCAAAGGAACACAGGTAGAAATAAGCATAGCAAGTTCTCAGGAAAATAGGGGAAAAAGTAAAAAGCCCAGTAAATCAAAGGGTGGTGGTTGGGGAGGAACAGGATTTAAAAGATAAGATAGCAGAGGGAAAAATTTGAAATTCCAATATACCATGACATGGATTTTTAAATACACATTAAATCCTATAGTTTAATTCTCCAGCTAACTTTGTTAGCTAAACTTCCAGAAATCCGAAATAAAAATACTAATGGGAGAAATCTCGATCAAGATGGAGTAAAAAGGTATTGCATTTAGAATGCATTCAAAGTTAGGTGACCATCAACTTAAACTAATATACATAGATTGTTATTTGTGAACCTCGTGACAACCACAAACTGAAAACCTGTAATAGATACATTACAAAAAAAAAACACAACAAAACAAAAGAAAGAAAGAAATCCAAACATAACACTAAAGAAAGTCATAAAATCACAAGGGAAGAAAACAAGAGAAAAATAAACAGAGAAGAACTACAAAAGCAACCATAGAACAATCAACAAAATGGCAAAAAGTATGTATCTATCAATAATCACTTCAATGTAAACACACTAAACTCTCCCATCAAAAGACATAGGTGGATAAATGGATTTTTAAAAAGATTCATCTATATAATGCCTTAAAGAAATTCACTTCACCTAAAGACACACAGACTAAAAGTGAAAGGTGGAAAAAGATATTCATGCAAATGGAAATGGAAAGAAAACTAGAGTAGCAATTATTATATCAGATAAAATAGACTTTAAAAAAGCCTGTAACAAGACACAAAGAAGGGCACTACATAAAGATAAAGGACTCAATCCAACAAGAGGGTATTGTAATTATAAATATATATGCACCCAACACAGGACCACCTACGTATAAGCAAATATTGACTGACACAAAGGGAGAAACTGAAAGTAATACAATAATCACAGGTGACTTTGACAGCTCATTTACATTGGATAGATCATCTAAACAGAAAACTAATAAAGAAAACATCAGCCTTAAATGACACATTAAGCCAGACAGACTTAATAGGTATATAGAGGACATTGCAACCAAAAACAGCAGTATACAAATTCCCCTTAAATGGACATGAAACATCCTGCAAGATACATCACATGCTAAGCCACAAACAAGTCTCAAAATTTTTTAAAAGACTGTAATCATATCAAACATCTTTTCCAGCCACAGAAGTATAAAACTAGAAATCAATCACAAGAAAAAAAAAAAAAACTACAAAAACACAAACACGTGGAGGCTAAAACATGCTACTAAACACCCAAGGTGTAAACAAAGAAATCAAAGAGAAAAGCAAAACTTACCTGGAGACAAATGAAAACGGAAACACAATGTTCCAAAGTCTTTGTGATGGAGTAAATGCAGTTCTAAGAGGGAAGTTTATAGTGGTGAGGAAGGGAGGGGCATAGAGAGACAGAGAGAGAGAATCCCAAGCAGGCTTCACACTGTCAGCACAAAGCTCAGACTCATGAACTGTGTGGCATCATTACCTGAGCCAAGATCAAGACTTGGACGTTTAACTGACTGAGCCACCCACATGCCCCTAAGCACAGTTCCTTGAAGAACAAAGGAGATCCTGAGGTATTAAAGCATCTGAGGTATTGAGAACCTAAGGATATATGCGAAAACTATCCATTCCACCTCTTTATTTCTTGCTTTCTTATACTGCTTGTTTGCTAATTGGCAGTAGACCCACATGAATGGAAATTAAACCAGATCAAAGTTTTCATTCTCACTAGACTTTAACATTAGACTAGAATATGTGTTCTATCATAACTGGCTCTGCTAGTTCTTAAGACTGCTGTTTTTTAATGATAATATTTCAATTAAATAGTTAAAACTTATTTCAGCTGTTATATATCATGCATTGAGCTAGACAATGGGAAACCAAAAGGTTAATAAGAAGTAGAAAGATCCTTTTCCTTCAAGGAACTTGGAGTCCATTGAAGAAGACAGACAAATAAACAAATAAAATGTGTTCCACAGTGATCTGCATTGAGTGCAGTGAAAATTCAGAAGGTTACCTCACTCACCCAGTTGAGAAAATAAGGCCTGATTGGAGGTGAAAAAGAATAAGATAGAGATATTATCTTAAAGGGCTTGCTAAAAAAGGTGCACTAATTTGAATAGTCAGGAGAAAATGAGTTGAAGATATTCTAAAGGGAAGAAGATACGCCTGAAAAAGGAGGCAATAAACTGTGATGTGTGCAAGCAACCAGAAGCAGTATGCTGCCACTAAAGCATAAAATCTGAGGCAGGAATGACAAAAGATGAAGTCCATGGAATATGTCCATGATGGATTTTGAGCTGTATCCCACAGGTGATGACGAGTCATTAAAGGTTTTATGCAGATGAGTAACATAGTCGAATTTGTGTTACCCACTGGACAGTGAGTCACCTGGGCAGAACTAACTCAGTGGCAGTTTAAGTCAGATTAGGTCTTGATAAAGAGAAGAGAAGATTTGTGTATAGGCTCTCTAGCACATGAGCTTGTGTGTTACTGGGGTCTCCTGTCCAAAGGAGTTCATTTTCTTCTGTATGCACGCGCGCGCGCGCGCGCGTGTGTGTGTGCTAGAAAGACAGATTAATTTGCATCCTTATAGCTTCTGGAAAAACTCCTTTATAAGAATATTAACACATTTATGAGAATATTCATAAATATTTGTGTGCATTATGTACCATAGATTACAATAAAACCTAACGCTATAAAAGCACATAATTTCAGAAGCAGTGTGTATAAGGAAGGGACTCTAACCAGTATCTCTCAGAGGATGTGAGCTATAAATTGCTACTGAAACAGAAATCAGCCCTGCTTATACAGCGTTCATTGAAGGTCAGAATCTCCACAATTCTCAGTAACATTCAGAGTCCACCCAATCCAGTTTTCTAAATGTAATAATCCCATTCTCTCTGGGCTCAGACCTAGTTTGTGGCAACATGACTGAACATACCAAGA